ATATATATATATATATATATATAATGTTTTTCCTCTACACCACCCCCCACCCCCCACAATTTTTTTGCACATGTCGAGGAGCGTGTCAGGCTACATTTCACTGTGTTATACTTGTATAACTATGCATGTGACAAATAAAGAACCTTGACCTTGAACCTTAAAATTATCAGAATATAAATCCATCTTATATACAGTCTGTGTTTTGTAGGATATGCTGTTAAGAGCTACTAGCATAGCTGTACTCTGTGTGAATTTGAAAGTTAGTACAGCACTGAATTGAGCTAAATGCTGTCAAGCTGGCATTTAGTAGATAGAGTTCATCTGATCACCTTAAATTACAGGGTTACCATGCTAACAATCCAACTTCCTGGAAACTTAGTAGCAGCCATCACCGCTGTTCCCTCTCCCAGTAATGGAACAAAAGCTGAGCAACTTAAAGCTATAACATTTCAATTGATAGCCTTTAGCATTTAGATTTATTGTTTGGTGGACCAGTAGTTCTCAACCTGTGTGCCATGAGGTAAGCAAGACATTTGAACAGCCAGTGTGTTTCAGGCTGATGAAACTGCATTTGAAATACGACAGTACTCCCATGACCTGGATGACTGACAAGCTGCACAAACAACGACACAGAAAACAAAGAACAAAAACCAAACAACATTGTACAGTACTGTGCAAAACACTCGAGGCATGCCTCAGTCTTAGCAACAGTTCAAAGTTTTTCTTCTTTCCTTTTAAGTTCATTAAATTTTTTTCAGTCCAGTCCTCATATCTGGCCATTTTCAGGTGAATGTTGTTTGTTTTTTTATTTGTTTTGTTTAGCTTTTATTTTGTTGAGCCACTTAATACTGACCTTTGAATCCCTTGAACACCGCACACAAACATGACACAAGTGTTATGTCTACACATAACAGACAACTTTGCAAAGGACAAATCATTACGATATATAATCATTCTAAATGTAGAAAAGTACCAACAATTATGCAGTACCATCTGAAATGTGTCTGACTGACAACAGTTTCATTTTTCAGCATTACAATGATTCCAAACACACTGCAAACACAGTAAAATAGTACCTGGATAGAAAAACATATACTGGAGGTCACAGATCACACTGGACATACAGACGTAAAATTGTTCAATATTTTACAAAGAAATACAGAAAAATAAGTTGTAAAATTGAGCCTTAACACTACTACAGCTAAATAGTACCTGACCGAACTACTAGTCGTTATAAATGATTTATAAAATTCTGAAACAAGCAGAGAAAAGAAAATGCACGAGGTTTTTTTTACTTACCCCAAGAGAGGATGCATATACAGGAAAACAGCAGGCCACTTAATAAAAGCTTCATTCCTTCACACTGAACCAACAATAGCAACTGACACCTACATCTGTGGTCAAATTATTCACACCAAACATTGGCATCCAAAGCTCAGATTAGTCTCGTCTTTCTCAGTTTTTGCAGAGTTCAAAGCCACAGCTTATCTTCCTTCGCTTCGCTGAATTCTTCATAACAGCAAAATCATACTGTTTTGAGCAAATAGTTAAAGGACAGACATTTAGTGCTACAGATGGAAGGCTAAAGAAAGTAAATAAATAAATGTTCCATTTACACTTTGATATTGAAAACTAGCTTCTTTTCAGCCCTATGTGGCTTTTTGTTCCTTACATAGGTGGAGGAAAGCTGTGCTGAGGGTAAGGATAGGTAGAGTCTAAGGACTGAAATGAACATGTCTACCTGGGAAATTCATCTGATGAGGTAAACACAAGTTATTCACTACCAGGTAGCAAGAACTGCTTCTTGTTAGATGAAAACACGATTGAAAGGCACTGCTACATTGTAACAACTGCTAGCCCCAGTGCTCCAATTGGCTGGACCTTACACCTTACAGACTCTAGCCATCAGCTCTCATACTTACTGGTGAAGCAAGTCTGTGGTTCAGTTTTTAGCAGACTTAGCTAATGTGATCTGCAAAGTAAAACATAAAAGTGGCAACAAGCATGGATGACACTGATATAGCTGCACAGGGTGTAGCAGCTCTTAAATACTGTATTTTCTTCAGTTGCTAAAGAAGACTTCTTTGAGATCAGGTCTATAACTTTGTACAGATACAATAATCCTAAAACTGTAAACAGGATCAGTTGCTCAGCCTAGATTTTTATGGGTTTTTGCTCATTTCAAGTGGAGCTTTTCGGACTTTTACTACTAGCAAGATAATATCATACAGTCCATAATGGGACGGTATCAACATGAAGTATGGCAGGACATTTTGTTACCTACCCCCAGCAACAAGCTTATCTGTATTACCATCTTTATAATTGTGATGTCAACCATTTCCTTTGTCTTATTTAGCTAGTTCACACTCACTCTGTCAGACTTCTCTCCAGTAGAACAGACATATTTGGAGTATGGGTCACAACAAATGTGCCGTTAAAACATGTGCAAGAAAACACAGAAACATTTTATTCCAATCTTTTTAGTAGCTTAATGGCAGAATTACCTGAAGTTTAACTGAACATGAAAACAAAGTATAGGAACAAATCTGAAAGCAAAGAGGTTTTTTTTACTTACTTCAAGATGTGAGGGCACAGGATAAACCTTTCACACTGAATCAAAAGTCAACTGACAAGTGTCACTTGGACACAATACTTCCACACAGACACCATCTACCCACTTTACTTCTCATGCGTTGTGGTATTATTCACTTTTCAATCTATTTACATGTGCAGTCACTTTTTGTTGTGCTAACATTTGTTGTTTTGAATGAATGAAGAATAAAACTATACATACTCTTAACTGATCGGTAACGAAAGAATACAGTTCTTCTATTTGTAATCAGATTTCATTATCAGACACTTTTATCTAACATTCATTTGCTGCTTCTACTGCTCTTCCATCTCTTTCTTCCTCTTCCTCGTCTTGCTCTTGTTTTTGACTTGAAGTTGGTTTATTTCCAGAAGAAGCTGAAATATGACAATCAACCGGTCATTATGCAGCGTAACCAACTGGCTGTCACTGGAGCTTTGTGTTGTATTGTACCTTTTGAGTTCTGCTGAGCTTTGTTCCCTACATAGTAGAGCCAGAAGAAGGCTGTGATCAAGGCGAGGACGGGCAGAGTCCTCATGAGATAAGTGAATACTTCTTCCTTTGGGGCTTCTGAAATTCATCGACAGAGGCATCTGATCAGGTGCACACAGGTTATACACAGTCCACAGGCTGGAGTGATAACTCCATGCCAGTGTTTTGAGTTTTGTGGATTTATGACTTGTTGTAGGTTTTCCCCACACTTTTGAGTTTGTTTGTAGTTTTGTTCCTTGGTTGTGGGTTCCCTTTTGTGATCCCTGTCTCTCTGGTTGTGTCCACATGTCTGTTTGGTTTGTCTGTGTTCTGCCTCCCTAGCTGTCTGCTGTCTGTGTTATTTCCTGTTTTATGTTGGTAGTCACTTGTCTTGTTTGCATCGTGTTCTGTTTCACTTCCCCTTGAATCATTTAGTGTGTTCAGTTCAGTTGTGTTCCCATATGTCCACTTCCCCTCATCATCATATGTATTGTCTCCCTTTATCCCTTGTCAGACTGTTAGTCACCCTGATGTCCCCAATTCCTAATGTTCTAGTATAGTCTCCCAGTATAGGTTTCAGTTAAAGCAGGAGCATCAAATGCATTTTTACACTGCGGGCCATATGGTGCCCACTTAAGTGGGCCCGACTAGTGAAACTCTCCTTCCTGTCAGTGTAAAGAAGTTACATCTTTAACAATTTTTCTACATACTGAAGAAAATGCTGCTGTTGAAAAGGAAGAAAACCGTCAGCATGAGACTTAAAAACGTCTTTGCCCAGACTGTTGTTGTTGTTTTGTTTTTTGAAAACAAAAAAAACAACAGAAATGTCTATAGTAGAAAGAGAAAAAGAGAAACAATCAATCACTTTGAGCGGAAGCACGAGCTCCAGCAGCTCTACGCTGAGGAAAAAAGATACATTTGCTTATTTTGTGCAGAATAACTTCACGTTATATTGATCAGCAGCTGCCCATATTAAGCTGTGATCGTCACCAGGTAACGTGGGCGTGTTTCCTAAATCAGCAGGTTTTAAACAGCTGACAGGTGAACAGGATGTATGCAGGTAAACCCGACGGTCAGTCGAGCTCATCGGTTGTGTTGTGAGGAAAATCTCGGCTTGTTATTTATGTTACAGAAAGACACGGGCAGGACGACAGGTGGAAGACTTTCTGATTTAATTTTTTTTAACATAATTTCATTGTTTCTGAGGATAATATTGATATGTGTCTATATTTGCATGAGCTGGAGATGGAGACCTTTCTTGGTCAACGTCATTAATCTTGTCAAACTCCACGAGACGCTGACAGACAGAGAAGACTATTCAGTAAAAAATCCAACATCTGCTGCACGGAGAATGGACTGTGCAAACAGATCTAACCAGCTAGGATAAAAACCAGTTAACCTGGAACACTGGCTCACGTCTCTTTGTGTCTTAGGAATGTCTGCTGCCCTTCCTTCTTTTACATAATGGTGTGATCTCTGCCTTCGCATGTGATTGGCCGGTGTGCCCATTAAAATAAAGTCCTACCCTCCCATGCACGGTTTCTCAGCAAGGCTGAAGATTCGGCTCCCACATAACGACGGATCTTTAATAACAGATATATGAAATTATCTCCTAGGCCGGATGTGGCCCGCAGGCCGTACATTTGACACCCCTTTTATATTTTTTTTATATTTTTTTATTTACTTGTTGGCCAAATAAAGGGCTTGTCCTTTGTTCACTATATCCACTCCTGTGCATTTTAGGTCCATACCACTCATCTCTTCACAGTGTTGGGAAGGTTACTTTTAAAATGTATTCCACTACAGATTACAGAATACATGTTACAAAATGTATTTTGTAACATTTTCCGTCATGTTACTCAATGAGAGTAACGTATTCTGAATACTTTGGATTACTTAATATATTATCATGCTTTTTACAACTACATGAATGTACTATTGTTGCGTGATGTATTACTATTACTGAAGGTTGTCAAAGGAGCTTGCAAAGAAAAGCGTCTGGACTTCTTTAAGTTACTTGAAGACGTTTCACCTCTCATC